GGGTTTATAAGGGTTTGGGGTTTAGGGTTCAAGGTTATAGGGGCGCTGCATAGGATTTCTATATGCTGAATGCGGGTTCTGTAGTCCTTAGGGTTTAGAGTGTAGGCTTGGCTTACACTGGTTGTTATGAGGGAAAGAGATAGCCAAGCAACTCAGGATTTAGGATTTGGGGTTGAGGGTTTTGGGTAGTGAATGGTCATTTTTCTTGAAGGCAAATGCAACACACAGGGTTCAGGGCTCAACTCAGTGGGTGCTAGTAGGGAATGAAGTACTGTTTGGGGCTTAGAGTTTAGAGTTAGGGGGAAGGACTGTAAGGCAATGAAAATGCAAGCAATTCCAGGAGGGGAGTTACCATGTAGGGACCGTACATGAGCTTCATCTACCTCTTATGTAACCCCCTATTCCCCCTATACACCCCTTATAGACCCCGAATTTAGATCCCCCAATTGGTAACCTTTGTCCTGTAGTTGGTCTTAATATTGGGGTGGATATAGGCTACATTGGGATCCATTCCTCAGCTTCCTAGTAGCAAGCAGCAACATAAGTATATTCAGGAACCCGTAAATGTATCATTGTCCCATGTGGCCACTATTAGAATGAAAGTGTGAATTTTCCTAAGGCATAAGCAGTCTTCTGTTGACAATCTTCCAAAAGTGTTCCGAGCTACACGGAGCGCAGGCTGGAGTTCGACAACCGAGAACGGTTCGAGTTGGACAAATGTGCATGGGAGGAGGAGAGGGGTTGATTGATGAGCTGAGGGGAGTGACAGGGGTTGTTGCAGTACATCCCCTAAACCCTAAAACCAAAACCCATAACATCATTTTTCCTGAGGAGATGGAAGGTGACCTAGTGTTCTCCTGCCGCGGCCAAGAAGAGCTGCGGAAGAACTTCGCCGCTCGCTACACCGGCTTTGTCTATGTCTTTTTGCGAGGCAGGCCACGCAAATCCCGAGTATCGCATGTCATGGCAATTGTTGTTACTGCCTGGCAGTTTTGACTGTTTTGGTTGCAGGCTTCTACACTTTTGAGATAGAGGCCGATGATGGATTTCGGATGATTCTGGGTCACGATGCATGCCCAGGGCAAGGTTGTGCCACAAGGCTTGCGGGGCAAAGTTTTTTCTTGAGTGCGTGGATGGTGTATAACAAGTTCATGTTTCTCACCCTGACAGGTACGATGTCCAAAATTGGGCTATGCAGCAGATGAGACAGAACAGAGTTGATGATGGATCTTATGGCAATCAATGCACAGAATGTTCTCAGGGTGTCTACCTTAATTGCTTCGTCACAGACTGGGGCTGCGAGCCTTTTAGCCTCTGGCAGTTAGAAGGTGATGGAGGTCTCTCAGGCACCTGTAGTTCTGGGTCCGTAACACGGAGGAGTAAGCGATGGTTGGAAGCTGGCTTGCATCCTCTGCGTATCGAGTATTTCCAGCGTGGTGGAGATGCAAAGCTATTATTCAGATACTCAGGGCCTGACACGGAGGACAACATGATCATAGTTCCAAGGCAAAAGTTGGGCTTCCCAAGATACATTGGCCTTATGAAGGAAGTGTTCGACGTCTCTCAGGATGACCCAACCATGTTACCCCCTGCAGAAAATCTGGGCGTGGGCTACCCCAACGCAAAGCTGCTTTATCGGACCGATGATCAGTTCCAAAGCACAGGCCCCGGAGAGGGAGCCTTCAGTGACGAGCTCGAGCTGCTGGACAGACCGATTTACATCCGATGGCAGGGCTACTTTCTCATCGCCAATGGCGGAGAGTATATCTTTCGCATTCGCTCGGACGATGGCGGCCGCCTGACCATGGGCGGCCGTGGCCTTGGGGGTGAGTCCTTGATCGTGGCAAACGATGGTCTACAGGACTGGGTATATTCCCCCAGTCCATTTCATTTTCCATTTTATTTTCCATTTGATTCTCCATTATAGGCCATTATGGTAACTGAAATTAAGTTCCTTAACAGCAACCCAGGAGGGAGCCTCCACGCAGGACTTCCGCCTCACTATGCTGGCCGGTTTGCACCCCGTACGGATTGAGTTCTTCTGGAAGCCGGATGCCAATCCGGTAGTCTCCGTTGCCCGACCGCCCGGGATCCAGGCAGGTGCGTCCCAACCACTCAATCAACGAAAGATTTTTCCAAACCACCACCACTGCTGCTGCTACTACTGCTTGCAACTGCTCCTACGATTATCGCCACAACCAGAGCAACTGCCACTGCTACTGCTATTACTCCTCCCTCCTCCTCCTACACCTTTTCCTATCGCTACTACCACGACGACGAGCAAGAAATCTCAATCTACCAGCACAAGGCATCTACAACCTACAGACCCCTAAACCCCAAACCCCAAACCCTAAACCCTAAACCCTAAACCCTGCCACGACTGTCTCGATCCCCTCCGAAAAAGAAAAGCAAGGGAAAGGGCAAGGGCAAAAGCAAGCAGGCCAGAGGGTGGTGGGAATGGGTCCCGCTGAAAAATGCCCCATGGCATGACAAAGATAACAAGTCCGGCAACGAGCCCATTGAAGTACCTGACGATGAAGAGGAGGAAGAGGAGTGGGGCAACTGGGATAGTTCCTGGTGGCAAGCACGCCCCGCAGACTACTGCGACAAGGAGGAGCCTGCAACCCCGTCTGGAAACTCAAAGAAGCCTGCGTCGTCGCCACCAAGGCGGCGCAGGGCATCAGGGTCAAGCCGAGATGCCAGCAAGGAGGTGAACACGAGTTCAGCCATGGCTTTCTGGCGCAACCTACTCGGCATGCCAGACTACGGAACAACAGGGGTCAGGGCGGTGGCCGACCAGCAGCTGGACGTGGTGTACAGCTTCGCGCTGAACACCCCAGCGGCAGAGCTCCTTCAGTTAATGGCCGGATGGAACAGGTTCATAGCGCTGGTCAAGGCTGAGATCAATAATGCTCTCGTCCGTGCACAGACGCAACAAGCAAGCAACAAGGAGGCCTGGCTAAGGAAGGACGAACAGGGTGACCAGGGTAAGGATGCCAATGGGGAACCAGACTCGTCGTCGCTGATGCAGCAGCCTAGTGCCACTCCCATGTTTTCTCAGATGACCTCGCTACAGGACAGCTTGCAGCAGTTGTCACCGAGACGGAGGGCGGTGAGGGCCTTCTTACTGCTCCAGCACCTAAGGGGATCTGGGCATTTCCTTCATGGTCGGAGGGCGCTCGCATCCCAGCTCCGAGCGGTTGAGCAACTACTACTGGCACAGAACCCTGTCCAAGCCTCGGCCTACGAAGACTCCGATGTCCAATGGTGCAGGGAAGTGTGGAGTGAGCTTGTGGAGGCAATGAATAGGGTGCTGCTAGAGTGTGAACCGATGCGGCCCGGTGGACTACCGCAAAAACGTCCAAGGTTGTCAGGGAGGACCTCTGCTGAAGGAAGCCAAGGAGCTGGAGAACTTCAAGTCAGTGTCTGTGATCGTGAAGGCAGGGAAATCGGGTACTGTCGGACGACAGTGTCGGAGCGGGATGCTCCGCTGCAAGTTCGGGTCAGACATGGCCAGCTGGCATCACCGGCAACCTCGGCGGCTACTGCTGCGTCCTCGAATTCCTCCACGGAGTTGACCCTGCTGGTCTTGCCATGTGTTCAGGACAACTTGTTTCGGCTCTGGGTAGAAGGGATCCTGACCGATGAGGCAGTGGTTGCCCGAGGAGGGGCTGCGCTCCTTCACGCCTTCCAGGCCCGCAGGACTGGAGAACTTGTGGAGCAACATGGCAGCCCGGTCACGAATGCTTCGGAAAGTGGTGGCGATGACGCTATGGCTGAACAGGACATGGGCGACATGGAGTGAGATTGAGTTGGGGGCCTTGATGATATGGAGTGAGCTTGAGTCCTTGGTCGTTCTCCCGATGCTCCGCTGAGGGGACCTTGCATTTTCTGTTCGCCTAGTCCGACTGGACAGTCTCTGCGT